CTCCTCACTCCTCCTCGTTTCCCCCGACGACTGCTCCCTTGCAGACGCTCCACATGGACGTGTGGGGCCCAGCCCGCGTCCGTGGACAGGGTCAGGAGAGGTACTTCCTGATCGTTGTTGACGACTACTCGCGCTACACCACGGTCTTCCCCTTGCGCACCAAGGGTGAGGTCCCTGATGTTTTGATCCCATGGATCCGCGCTTCTCGTCTCCAGCTCAGTGAGCGGTTCCACTCGGACTTTCCTGTCCTGCGTCTGCACTCTGACAGAGGTGGTGAGTTCTCCTCTGACCTCTTGGCAGCCTACTGTGCGGAGCACGGCATCCGCCAGTCGTTCACGCTTCCGGCCTCTCCACAGCAGAATGGGGTTGCTGAGCGCCGCATTGGCTTGGTCATGGAGGTCGCTCGTACCTCCTTGATCCATGCGGCTTCCCCCCACTTTCTGTGGCCGTTTGCGGTCCGATACGCTGCGCATCAGCTCAACCTCTGGCCCCGTGTCTCCGTTCCGGAGACTTCGCCGACACTGCGTTGGACGGGAGAGGTTGGCGATGCGTCGCGTTTTCGGGTCTGGGGATCCCGAGCTTTTGTTCGCGATACGTTCGCGGACAAGCTCTCCTCCCGCGCTGTTCCCTGTGTCTTCCTTGGCTTTGTCCCGGACGCGTCTGGTTGGCAGTTTTACCACGCCACCTCGCGCCGTGTCCTGCCCTCTCAGGACGTCACTTTTGACGAGTCCGTGCCCTACTACCGCCTCTTCCCCTACCGCACTGCCCCGCTCCCCCCCCCGCCTCTCTTCCTCGCGCCAGGTGCTGCTGTGGTAGACCCCCTCCCCCCTCAGGGTGCCGCTCCCTCAGGTGTGTCCCAGGTAGACCCGGTTGAGCCTGTCGAGGTAGCTGTCGACTCTCGTCCTGCCAGGGGTGCTGAGCCTGAGCGTGCGGAGCCTGGGGTTGCGGAGTCTGGGGGTGCTGAGCCTGGGGGTGCGGGGTCTGGGGGTGCGGAGCCTGCGGGTGCTGAGTCTGGGGGTGCTGAGCCTGGGGGTGCGGAGCCTGCGGGTGCTGAGTCTGGAGGTGCTGAGCCTGGGGGTGCTGAGCCTGGGAGTGCTACGTCTGAGAGTACTGAGCCTGAGCGTGCTGCACCTGGGGGAGGCCTCTCCTTGCAGCAGCTGCGTGAGTGGTACTTACAGTACTGCAGCCTCAGGAGAGGTGCTTCTGGAGCTCGGAGTGGTGCCGGAGCTGGTGCTAGTGCTTCCCCTCCTAGGCGGGAGCTGCCCTCTCCCCAGCAGCTCCGAGAGTGGTACGCTAGGCGCTGCAGTCTCCGGAGTGGCGCTCCCGGTGTCGTGGACTCTGGAGCTTCTGGAGTTACTGGAGGTGCTGCTGCTGCTGGCGGTGCGGCTGGCGCTGCTGGAGGTGCTGCTAGTGCTGCTGGAGCTGCTGGAGGTACTGCTGCTGCTGGAGGTGCTGCTGGCGCTGCTGGAGGTACTACTGGTTCTGGTGCTGCTGGAGCTGCTGGAGGTGCTGCTGCTGCTGGCGGTGCGGCTGGCGCTGCTGCTGGTGGTACTGCTGCTGCTGGCGGTGCTGCTGGCGCTGCTGGAGGTGCTGCTGGTACTGGTGCTGCTGGAGCTGCTGGAGGTGCTGCTGCTGCTGGTGGTGCTGCTGGCACTGCTGGAGGTGCTGCTGGTACTGGAGCTGCTGGGGACCCTGCTGCTGCTGGCGGTGCTGCTGGAGCTGCTGGGACTGGCCCTGCTGAGGGGGTTGGAGCTGGAGGTGCTGAGCGGCCACGGCCGTACTACGTTCCGCTCCTTCAGCAGGTTCTTGGCCTTCCGCCCTCTCCTGGTCCTACTCCTCCCCTACTGAGTCCACCGCTTGTCCAGTCGCAGTCACAGTTACAGCCAGTCTCTCCACTTCCTGGTCCTTCTCCCTACACTGCGCCGACGGGAGGTCTTACGGAGCGTCGTGAGCCTGAGTCTCGTCCTCCGTCGCCTGAGACTCGTCCAGAGTCGTCTGAGTCGCGTCCAGAGTCGCCTGTCCGCGCTGTCCGCGCTGGTCGTCGTGTTCCACGTCAGCGTCCTCCTCCTGTCCTTGGCACTCACTATATGACCCTGCGTCCCTCTACTGCTCCACAGCGTGTCCCACTGCCGTCTCCACCAGCGTCCTCTCTTCCTGCTCTTGCTGACCCGGAGTCTGACTCTCTTCGTGCTGCCAGTCCTACTGTCCCGCGTCTCCTTGCCACTGCTGTCACTGACCCTTCCTTTGAGTCCTCTGCTGCGTCTTCTCTAGTCGCTGAGCTTGTTGACTTTGCTGCTGCCTGTCGTCTAGACTACGCCGCTAGCCTTGTTGCTGAGTCTGAGTCTGAGTCTGTCTGTCCTCCGTCTGTCGGGGGTGAGTGTGCTCTTGGCACGGACGTCCTTGAGGACAGACAGGAGGATTTTGAGTGCTTTGCCGCTGCTTTGCCTCATCTCGTGTCCATGCTAGTTGCCCCTGAGGGAGACCCGGATGCACCAGACATCCCGACCCCACGCTCCTACGCAGAGGCGATGGAGGGTCCCTACTCCTCTCAGTGGCAGACAGCCATGGACGCAGAGATGGCTTCCTGGAAGTCCACAGGCACCTACGTCGACGAGGTTCCCCCACCTGGGGCGAACATCATCAGTGGCATGTGGATTTTCAGGGTGAAGCGGCCGCCGGGTTCTCCGCCTGTCTTCAAGGCGCGTTACGTTGCACGAGGCTTCAGTCAGCGAGAGGGAGTTGACTTCTTCCAGACCTTCTCCCCGACCCCGAAGATGACCACTCTTCGGGTTCTGCTGCACGTCGCTGCTCAGCGTGACTACGAGCTCCACTCTCTTGACTTCAGCACTGCGTTCTTACAGGGCAGCCTGCACGAGGAGATCTGGCTGTGCCGCCCACCTGGCTTCACTGGGTCGTTCCCTCCTGGTACCCAGTGGAGCCTCCGGCGGCCAGTCTACGGTCTCCGCCAGGCACCCCGTGAGTGGCACGACACACTGAGGACTACTCTTGCTGCTCTTGGGTTTGCTCCTTCTACTGCTGACCCGTCGCTGTTTCTACGCACCGACACCACTCTGCCGCCGTTCTACGTTCTTGTTTACGTAGACGACTTGGTCTTTGCTGCTGCTGACACTGAGGCACTCGCCCACGTGAAGTCGGAGCTGCAGAAGAGACACACGTGCACAGACCTGGGTGAGCTGACAAGCTATCTTGGCTTGCGGATCACCCGGGACAGAGCACAGCGCACCATCACCTTGACTCAGTCACACATGGTGCAGCAGGTCCTTCAGCGCTTCCGCTTCACGTACTCCTCGCCTCAGCCCACTCCTCTGCCTACCGGTCACTCGCTCTCAGCTCTGCCTTCGGATGAGTCCGTAGAGCCGAGTGGCCCGTATCCAGAGCTTGTGGGCTGCCTCATGTACCTGATGACCTGCACTCGACCTGACCTGGCATACCCTCTTAGCATCCTAGCACGCTATGTCGCTCCCGGCCGTCACCGGAAGGAGCACATGGATGCCGCTAAGAGGGTGTTGCGCTACTTGTGCAGTACGTCGGGCATGGGGCTCGTGCTTGGAGGTCGGAGCGACGTTGTCCTCACGGGTCACTCAGACGCTTCTTGGGCTGACGACCAGGCTACGCAGCGGTCGTCTCAGGGTTACACCTTCAGCCTTGGCTCTGGTTCAGTTTCTTGGCGTTCTACTCGCTCTTCTTCTGTTCTCAGCTCCAGTTGTGAGGCTGAGATCTACGCCACAGCCATGGCTGCACAGGAGTTACGCTGGCTCACCTACCTGCTGACCGACCTGGGAGAGCGGCCTCGTTCTCCTCCAGTGCTGTACGTTGACAACAAGGCCGCCATTGCCTTGTGTGAGGAGCACAGACTGGAGCACAGGACGAAGCACATCGCTCTGCGCTACTTCCTTGCTCGAGAGCTGCAGCAGCGTGGTCAGCTTCGTCTTGCTTACGTGGCCAATCGGGCCAACACTGCTGATGTGTTCACCAAGGCGCTTCAGCCTTGTGACCATCAGCGTTTCTGTACTGTTCTAGGCCTTGTGCCTACTCTCCCTCACTTGCTCACTTCTTGACTCTGCTTGTACTGTGATCTCTATATGTATATACCTGCATGTTTACTCTTGTTAGGTTGTGATCACTGTACCTCTTGTTATATTATCAAACTGCATGTGAACTGGTCTTGTGACCACTTGCTTGTGCTCGGAATTTGTGTGGTTTCCTTGAGATCCACCCTGAGCTTGCTTTGCTTTGCTTTGACTGGTCTTGTGACCATCTGGTTGTCTCCCACTTAGCCTATGGGGGTGTGTCAAACATTATACATGTTCATATTGTGTAGGCTATAGTGGGTTTAGCCTTAGGGGGTACAACATTGCTAGGGTTTCCTACTTGTATCACCCTGCTGCCTAGTTTCACACATTCTCGTTCAGTTCTACATTCTAACAGCAGGGGCGCACAGGCTGCAGGCGCGCGCAAGCAGCATGGGCGCGCGGGCAGCATGGCGCGCGGGCAGCATGGTGCGGGGCAGCAGGGCGCGCAGGCAGCAGGCGCCCGCGGGCAGCAGGGCGCGTGGGCAGCAGAGGCACGCGTGCAGCAGGGCGCGCGGGCAGCGGCGGCATGCGGGACAGCAGGGCGGGCACGGCCAGCAGGGCGCGCGCAGGCAGCAGGCGCGCGTGGGCAGCAGGGCGCGCGGGCAGCAGGGCGCTCGGGGTAGGGCACGCGGGCAGTAACGGGCCTAGGATCTAGGATCGATCCTAACCTAGCGTATGATATGATGTCAAGAGTGTGAACAGCGGAGTGAGTTGCATTGATGTAAGTTTGGTACATATGCCTAACCCTAAAAAGGTCATACCCCTTAGAGGGTGCCCCACTACAGCCTACAAGCATACATCATGTTTTGACATAAGAACCAGAGCATGGCTCATTTGTCCATGCTGGTTTATGTACACCACACAACTCAGATTGAATGAATCAATTTGAGTATTGCCTAGTCATGTTCATTTTTCATTTGACTCAAAGCGGTCAAACAGAGGCTTGGGGATGGAGTGCGAAACGTCGTTGAACGGAATTTCTAGGTCCAGTGCATAAAGCTTCTTCACCCGCTCGTATGTTTCCTGCAGCGGGTGCACAAAACAAACAAGACCGCACATGGTTCAGCCAGTTGACAGATACCGTGTACACATTGCTGGTACTTGCATAGCATAGCACGCACGAAATGGCAGGATACCACAAAAAGGGTGAGTGGCCGAAACAAGGGAGGAACCGATGAAGCAGGTGGAAAGGAGCTCGCGCATCTAAAGAGGAGGCAGGCAAGGCCGGGTACTCACTTGGTCATCCATACACACGAGCTTCACATCAAACTTGACCTGATGAATCTTTGAGTCGACTCAAAAGTCACCTCGTATCCACGGACGAAATGCAGAGGCTAGCTAATGGGTACAACAAAGAGGCAGGCAAGGCATGGAACTTACTTTATCGTACATCTGCACTAGCTTCTCATCGGCGCGGGTCTGGTGCGCGTTGACGCCGAAGTTGAAGATGTCGAGATGGTCGCCTCCGAATCGGTTCACCACATACTTGGCATCCTCCTCCAGATTCTCAAACCGCCCCATAAAGTCGTACTTTATCAGCCCCAGCGCACACACGTCCCTCTGCTTGCACGCATGTGGACAGATGTGTGGGTAGATGCATACATGCATGGGAGCAATTACGTGCACATTATGGGGGCAGACACACGCACACCATGGGAAATCCACACTTGGAAAATGCACACATGAGAGCAGGCACGAGCCGGCGAATATGCTTCTGCTGGAACCACATGCCCCCTTGCACATGTCATACATCTTCACAAGCTTCACCAAGCCACCCCACCCACCTGCAGTGCAAAGGGCCGGTCCATGTTCCACCCACCTGCAATGCAATGTGCCGGTCCATGTTCCACCCACCTGCAGTGCAATGTGCCGGTCCATGTTCCACCCACCTGCAGTGCAATGTGCCGGTCCATGTTCCACCCACCTGCAGTGCAATGTGCCGGTCCATGTTCCACCCACCTGCAGTGCAATGTGCCGGTCCATGTTCCACCCACCTGCAGTGCAATGTGCCGGTCCATGTTCCACCCACCTGCAGTGCAATGTGCCAGTCCATGTTCCACCCACCTGCAGTGCAATGTGCCGGTCCATGTTCCACCCACCTGCAGTGCAATGTGCCGGTCCATGTTCCACCCACCTGCAGTGCAATGTGCCGGTCCATGTTCCACCCACCTGCAGTGCAATGTGCCGGTCCATGTTCCACCCACCTGCAGTGCAATGTGCCGGTCCATGTTCCACCCACCTGCAGTGCAATGTGCCGGTCCATGTTCCACCCACCTGCAGTGCAATGTGCCGGTCCATGTTCCACCCACCTGCAGTGCAATGTGCCGGTCCATGTTCCACCCACCTGCAGTGCAATGTGCCGGTCCATGTTCCACCCACCTGCAGTGCAATGTGCCGGTCCATGTTCCACCCACCTGCAGCGCAATGTGCCGGTCCATGTTCCAGCGCCTCTCCTTGAACACGACGCCCACGAGCTTCACAAAGTCGTGGAATGACACCAGGTCGTCCTCCCCCTTCAGCGCCTCCCACTGCGACCGAATCAGCCGGAAAAACGCCTGCAAAGGGGGAGAGGAGCAGGGGGAGGAGGTTAGGGGACTGGAGGAAGCGTGGGGAAGCATCCTGCCTGCCTGCCTCTCACTCCAAAGCCCATCTCACCACAACAGCTCACATTGTTCCCACTCAAAGAAGACCGGCTTCGCTCACATCGTTCAGTCTTGTTGTTGTACGCTGGGAGCACTCGCCATGGCAAGCACAAGCGGCCAGCAACAGGCAGCAGCAAGTACGTCTTAGCCCCACAGTCAAGACTCACATTGCCCCAGAACTCACATTGTTCCAGTAATCTCTCGACCCCGGGCCCGTCTTGTTGTTGGGGGAGTCGGTGATGACCAGCTTGTTGTTGTATGCTGAGAGCACTCGTGAGAAGGGGTTTCGCACGAAGGTGAAGCGGAAAAGGTCCGGCCGCGTCATTGCCCGCACCTGGGGGAGGGCAGGCGGGCGGGGCGAGGGAGGAGAGGGGGGAGTTTGGGCGGAGAGGGAGGTGTTTGGAGGCGAGGGGAGTGTGAGAGAGAGGGGAGGCAGATATGCTTGGAAGTGGACAGTGGACACATGGGCTGTTTGCACATGGAGGCAGGAGAGGATTGCGGCTTCTGCGGCAGCAAAGAAGGGTGTAAAGGTGGGTGGAGCGGTTGGAGTGAAGGCGGGTGGTGGGTTGGGAGAGGCTGAGAAGGGGCAGGTGGAAGGAAGGGTGGCGACGAGGGAGAGCAGTGCAAAGAATCGCACTCTCTTTGCCACACGGTGGGGACGCACGCGAATCGCAAGTGCTCACCGCACATGGGAGAGTTCAGAGCGCACGTAGCAGCACACTCACGGCTTGCTTCTCTGTGAAGTGCACGTGCAGCATGTGCCAGCCCGCCCTGTCATCGTCCAGCGCCAGCAGCGGGTCCTCAGGGTGTGGCTGCCCCAGCATGGCCCGCAGCCACATGAGCCACGAGTTGGCTGCTACCTTGGGTACCGTGCAGATGAATATCTTCAGCTTCTCTGAGAGGGGCGTGGGATGCAATGGGGAGAGATGCAGAACGATTCAGCGTGGCCCATGTAGCACCTTGGGCACCGTGCACACGAATAGCTTCAGCTTCGCTGGTGGGCTACGGGATGTGGGGTGGGGGAAGTAATGGATGCGGGATTCCAGTAGCCACATGAGCCACGAGCTGGCTGCCACCTTGGGCATGGTGGGATGCGATGGGGAGGGGTGGAGAACGACCTAGCATCGTGGGCACCGTGCACCCAAACAGCTTCAGCATTCTGGTGGGCACGGGCTGGATGGGGTGGGGCGGGGGATGGGAATGTGGCTGGAGAAGGGGTGGGACAGGTGAGTGTGGCGTGGCAGCAGGCAATAAATTAGGTGAGCATGCCAGTCCAGGTGCATACAGGTGCTTGCACACGCACGGACGGGACTCCAGTGGGGACGAGGGCAGTAAGTAGTACCCACCTCCCGCCGTGGCCGTGCTATTCACTTTGGCCTGCCCACCCACCTGCCACCCACCTGCCACCCACCTGCCATCCCCCGGCCATCCACCTGCCATCCACCTGCCGGCCGCCTGTCGCCCGCCTGCATTTCACCTGCCACCCACCTGCCACCCACCTGCCACCCACCTGCCACCCACCTGCCACCCACCTGCCAGGGCCCTCACCTTCCACCATGGTGAACATGGACCACTTCTGCTTCGTGATTGGCCGGATCTCACGCCGCCCGCACACGGATACGTGCTGGCGGAAGGACGACGATCGCCGGGCGGCCTGGGCGGCAATGAAACGCGGCTCAAGTGCGCTGCTGTTGACGGCCACCAGCCCGGATGTTAGGCTCAGTGAGAAGAGCTCCGATACCTGAGCAAGGAAGTGGGGGGGCAAGAGGGGGGGTGGGAGGGCAAGGGAGGGAGTGGGGAAGGAGGCTCCACGGCGCTGCTGTTGACCGCCACCAGCCCCGCTGCCAGGCGGAGAGAGAAGAGATCCGCGACCTGGGGAGGAGGGGAGGAGGGGCGGGTGAAGCGGTGAGGGAAGGGGTGGGAGAGTGGGGAAGCATGACGGAGAGCAAAGGTGAGGTTGCCACCCTCCCTGCTGTGAGGGCGAGCGAGAAACGGGGTTAAGTCCTGAGAGGCAGAAAGGAGGGCGAGAGACACAGTTGGAATGAGGTGAGACTGCAGGCAGCCGTGCTGGCCGGCTGACAGAGGGGTACTCCGCAGGGTGGCAGAAACGACGGCGGGAGGAGAGTGCCAGGAGAGGACTGGAATGCAGGGTCCACAGAGCGCAAGGCGAAGAGAGTGCTGGGCAGACAAATCTGCCTGATGATAAGAAAAGGGGTTCAACAGATTATGAATAGGAGATAAGGAGGTTTGGGTTCAGCATCATGCAGTGAATGGCAAAACTCACCTGCAGCTGATGGCACCACATTGAACCCACCTGCAGCTGATGGCACCGCATCAGAGTCTCATCCGACACCTCCAATCTCCGCACCACTCTTCTCACTCTCCTTCCCAATCCTTCTCCTCTCCTCTCTCCCCCTTGCCCCATCCCTTCCACTCCTTCCCTCAACACATCTCCCCCCACCACATCCTCCTCCGCACTCCCGACCCCCTTCTCCCCTCCCTCTCCCTCCTCCACCTCAACCTCCTCCTCCAGCTGACACGTGGCAATGCGCGATTGGGTGGCTTTAAGCAGCAACGGGGAGCGGAGGGGCGGAAAGTAGTCCATGATTTGGGGCACGTGGGCGGGCGAGAGGGCGGCGAGGGTGAAGGAGACGGCACGGTCGGCAAGGTAGGTCATGGCGATGCGGCGCATGGCGCACATGGGGGGTGAATACTCCGACTCCTCGCTGCACCCCGCACAGCCCGAGGGGCCGAGGGGCTGGGGAGTGGGAAGTGGGGGGTGGGGAGGTGGGAGTGGGGGATGAAGAATCGGCTGAGTTGTTGCGTATGCATCGGCAGGGGGATGGAGGGTGGAGAAGAGGATTCGAAACGGAGAGCAGGAAGTAATCGCACGGAAATTGATTGGGAGGGTGCGGAGGTGAGCAGTGAAATTCATTGGCAGCCCGAGGCCATGGGAAGTGCATGTGCATGCGGGGAAGAGCAGCTGCCAAGCCATGCCATGCCATGGCATGGCACCATCACACAGCGCATGCAAGCACATGTGCATGGTGCAGCGTGCAAGAGCATGACAGCATCTGTGCACTCACATCAACATAGAAGGCGGTGGAGGTGGCGAGGCGGTGCACATCCTCCTTGATCAAGGCCGCACAGTGCAAGCACAAGTGCAAGCACAGGTACAGCATGCGGCATGTGCCCTCACACCTCACTCACATCAACATAGAAGGCGGTGGAGGTGGCGAGGCGGTGCACATCCTCCTTGATCAAGGCCGCACAGTGCAAGCACAAGTGCAAGCACAGGTACAGCATGCGGCATGTGCCCTCACACCTCACTCACATCAACATAGAAGGCGGTGGAGGTGGCGAGGCGGTGCACGTCCTCCTTGAGCACCAGTGACGCCACAAACGGTGACGGCTCCAGTGCGCCCAGACACTCCTCCACCCGCCGCTCATACTCACACAAGTCCACCTCCACCCTCTCTTGCGCCACCCTCGCGCCTTCGCCCTGGCCCCCCAGGAACAGACCCGCTCCTTCGACCTTGCCCTCCGCAGCCCCTGCTGCTGCGTTTGCTGGTGGTGCGTGTGGGGTGTGAGCTTCAGCAGCAGCAGAGTGGGGCGCGAGGAAGAGGTGCAGGGGAGGAGGCAGGGAGCGGGAGGAAGACCTACCCCTGCATGGCCGCAGCACCACCTGCCCTTGGCGATGGGGATGGGGATGGGGATGGGGATGGGGATGGGAATGGGAATGGGGATGGGGATGGGGATTGAGATTTGATGGAGCGATGGTGATGCATGAGCGCCCAAGCACGAGCTATGCAGAGGGGAAGGCAACGGGAGGAGGGGCACGGGGAGGGGCACGGGAGGAGGACGGGAGGAGGGGTGTGGGAGGAGGACGAGGAAATGAGAGGAGCAAGGCATGGCGTCAGGAGTAGAGCGTTTGAAGTGGAAAATAGGAACACGGGCACTGCCCCCTCACCCGCACCGCCCTCTCACCCGCACCGCCCTCTCACCCGCACCACCACCACCCTACGCCTCACCTGCTGCTGCGGCGAGGAGGCCAGTTGCGTCCTCAGTGCGTCACTGCGCACAGGCAGGTCGCGCACCCACACCCCGCCCTCCCCCCCGCTCACTCCCCACCCCTCCGCCCCATCCCCTCCGCTGCTGCTGCTGCGGCTGCTATTGGGCGCGGGGGAGGCGGAGAAGAGGTGGCGGAAGGTGGTGGCGGGCAGGTGGCGGTCGGCGGGCCAGAGGGCGAGCGTGGGCGCGCCGGTGAGCGACGTCAGCGCATACGCCGCGCACACCGCGTGCACGCGCTCCGCCAGCGCGCCCTGGTTGGGGAAGGGGGAGGGGAGAGGGGGATGGGGGGGCAGATGATGGGGCCGGACGATTGGGGCGGACGATTGGGGCGGAGGATTGGGGCGGACGATTGGGGCGGACGATTGGGGCGGAGGATTGGGGCGGATGATGGGCGAATGCTGCGGGGCAGTTGATGGGAGGGGGATGATGGGGCCGGCATCATAGAACAGGCCACAGCGCGCATCACAGCCCGCACAGCGCGCACCGCGCGCATCACAGCACAGCACCGCACAGCGCGCACCGCGCGCATCACAGCACAGCACCGCACAGCGCGCACCGCGCGCATCACAGCACAGCACCGCACAGCGCGCATCAGCGCACCTCTGCCAGGATCACAGCAGCAGCGCCGGCACATTCGTTCCACCCGTTGCCGTCCTCGCACCTCCACGGATCCACCTCGCCCGTCCTCCCGCCGTCCCCGATATACGCGTCTTCGCTACCATTTGCAAGATACCCGCTCAGGTCCCCCGTCTCGCCGCTCGCTTTCCACAAATCCGCGATTTTCTGCGACGCCTTGAGCAGCGCCTTGCCGTTAAGGACCGTGAAGTCGCTCTTGTCGCGCGACAAGCTCCAGTGCGACAGCCCTGCGACCGTTGCGAGGACGAGGAGCAGCGGCGGGAGCAGCCATTGCAAGAGGCGAGGCCGCTCGCCGCTGCCGTGCGTCTTCCGCTTGCCGAGCGTGATCGTGTGAGTCATTGGCAGGAAGACTGCGCGACGCGTATGCGACGTGTATCCGACTCGTCACCGACGCGAGTTATGCCTATGCAAGTACGAGATTGGGCTTCTGACGACAGTAGCAGGCGGATTTGTCGTCGTGATGTCGGCACGAGGCGGCTAGTGGTCCGCGATGAGAGCTCTGATGGGGAACGCTCATGCATTAAAGCCAGGGTCTCACATAAGCTAAGGAGCCATCAACTGCAAAACAGTCTCATTAGTGACTGTTAAACGCGCTGGATGCTACGCGCTTGGTTCAGAGCTCTAATCGCCACCACCACCACTGAGGCACTCGCGAGCTGTTCGGATTCGGATGCTCCGCGGTCGGGAGCAAGGCACGCGGGCGGTCTGAATTGCCTGAAGCCGTTTGCCCTAAAGTGCTACCTGATCCTGCGCATGTAACGGTCGTAATCGCTGAGCTTAACGGAGTGCGACGACTTCGTCCCTGGCGCCGACTTGCTCCACATTGTGCAGTAAAAAACAAAAATACTTTCCGCACAGATAAAGCCTTCACCCATGCTTTTCTCCATTTCTGACAGCTAAGATAGGTGGAATCTTGACATCTAAGTTCGCCTTTCCAACGCTTCTGAAGGCGACCATTAGGCTATCTGTAGAGTAGACCCTTGAAGCCTCTGACATCATCGTTTGAAGGAGCAAAGGCACAGCTGACAATGACAATCTGACGCCTACCAACCAACCAGACCTATAAAAAATAAGAGGCTTGCTCGGCTTTGTTTGGTCTGGAGGCAGGTGAGGGAACGAGATGATTGGTGGTGGAAGGTTTGGAAGGGACGGGGTGGTGAAACAAGGGGCAGCCTTTGAAGGCGCTTCGCATCTCTCGATGCGGGGCGGCGGGTCAACCTGGTCTGGTCTGGAGGGAGGAGAATCTTGGCTAGGGGCTTGATTTGAGGAGGAGGAAGGGGGCGGCCTGACGGGTGGGTGCGCAGGGGCTGGTCTCGGGGATGTTGGTGCTTGTTGAGGGCCGTGGCAGGGAGGCTCGACAGGCGACGCCCCAAACCCAGACCACCATCACTGACATTCCCCTGGTTATCTCGCCCCAAACCTTCGGCGCGACACCAAGCCTGGAAGGCATGTCGCCGGAGCAACTCGTTCTGACAAAGTTGTAAATCGACAAGTCTGGGGAAAATATGCCATAAGTAACCAACTTAGGACTCGATAACGTCAATGGTAAAAAAAAAACGCGTACGGTAACTGTATCGGGTGTTCTGACGGGTATGGTAAGTGGGGTCACGGATTTAGTAAGTAACAACAGGTAAAAAATCACGCGAATGGTCACACATGTAACTCCCGCCAAAAAAACTTGAAACTCAACAAAATTCCCGCTCGCGCTGAACCAATCTGCTAACTTCAAAAAAACTAAAACCCAATCGGAAACGGATGCGGTTTGGGAACAGGTCAACCCTAAACACCTGGCGAGTTACGTGTTTAGGGTTGATTCATCCGAAACTGCATCCAGGTTCTTTTTGGGTTTCAGTTTGTTTTGGCGGGAGTTTCATCTATGACCATTCGCGTTTTTTTTTACCAGTTTATAGTGACTGATTACGTGAAACGTTTTATCAGTCGCGTGAAAACACCCTCTGCAGTGACCGTACCCTTTATTTTTTTACCAAACATGTTATCGAGTCCCATGCTGGTTACGAATGGCATATTTTTCAACAAGTCTGAATGATAGAAGTGTGTGAATGTGTGTAGTGATTGAAAGGTTTTACTTTTTTTGGCATCCTTACCGCGCACCTCAACATCCCGTACATGACCAACCGTTTCTTCGCCTCTTACTATTAGCTAACGGTGTTACCGCCTTCGCGCGTCACAATTGCCAAACCATGCATCGCTGGACTGGCCCGAGTCGGCCTACGCTTCGAGACTAGCCCGAACCTCGCTGCCAGCATTGCATTAGCTAGCCAGCACGCACCGCGTTGCCGCTTGCTTAGTTCGCTATAAATGTTCGCTGATGCCTTCGCTCACATCTTGTATTCGTTTGCCAACTTAGTGCAATCATTGTTACCTCGATACATTGCACCCGTAACACTTGGTATCAGAGCCGCTATCCTCGCATTTCCGCAACCAGCAGAACTCATTTTTGTTTTTTATTTTTTGGGTTGCGAAGCAACCCTTTACGATCGATTTTGCCAAATTTTATTTTCATATTGTTTTTAATAAAACATGAAAATAAAATTTGTAAACTACAGTAATGCCCTTCCCATACTACAAGCAGGTTGTGTCAGAATGTGTAGTTTGTCTAGCCTGCAGTGGGGTACTCTATAGTGAGTACGACCCCTTAGGGTTTCCTATATGTATCCACCTGCTTGCTAGTGAACCTTCTCCTTTGCGTATCTCACTCTTGCCTAGCTAGCTAAACCCTAGCTATGGCTCCTCGTTATGCCTACTGTTCTGACATGGAATCAGAGCTGTCACGCTCTTGGCCTGTGGGCCCCACGTGCTTCCGCTGCTTTCCTGTCTGTCGCGCGCCCCGTGGCGCGCGACGCTTTTTTCTTCCCGCCACGCGCTCGGGGCGCATGGCGGTTTTCTGCCCGCCGTGCACCCCGAGGCGCGTGGCGGCTTCCTGCTTCACGCGTCACCCCGCGGACCCGCGCGTCTTCCCCGTCGACGGTCGCGTCGCCCCACGGGAGCTCGTCGCGTCGCCCCGCAACCCGCGCGCGGCCCTCGCTGCCCCGTCGCGACGCCCTGGGGAGCCGCTCGCGGCCCCCCGCTGCCCCGTCGCGGTGCCCTGGGGAGCCGCGCGCGGCCCTCGCTATCCCGTCCCGACGCCCTGGGGAGCCGCGCGCGGCCCCCGCTACCTCGTCGCGTCGCCCTGAGGAGCCGCGCGCGACCCCCCGCTGCCCCGTCGAGGCGCCCTAGGGAGCCGCGCGCGGCCCCCGCTGCCCCGTCGCGGCGCCCTGAGGGCCGCGCGCCGTCCCCCGCGCTGCTGCTCGCGCTCTTGCCCCGTGTTGCCCGTTTTAGGGTTTGGGGGTGGCGGGTGTTGGGGTGGCAAGCATGGGGATGACGGGTGTGTGCACAGTCCCCTGCTCCTCCTCCTCCTCCGTCTCCCACTGCTGCAGCTGCCGCTGAAGGGGGGTGGGTGTGTGGGAGCCGAGGGAGTGGTGCTAGGGGGGTGACGTGGGAGTGGAGCTAGGGGTGCAGCAAGGGGTGTGTGAAAAAGGGGGGTGGGACAGTTGGGGGAGGTTGAGCGGAGGCTGCCGTCTTGTCGTCCGCAGCACCTGTAGTCCGGGGCTCTGCTGCTGGTAGCTCAGAGAGCCTGCTGCGCCTGTCGCCCGTGGGTCCGTTGCTCCTGCCGCTCAGAGTTAGCCGCAGAGCCAGTTACTCCTGTAGTCCGGGGCTCTGCTGCCGGTAGCCACTATGCGCGCCGCTCCTGTTGCCCGTGTGTCTGCAGCTTCAGCCGTCGCCTCCTATCTCCTCTCCTCTCACAGTCCAGCCTCCTCCTCCTCACGTGCCCGTTGTGAATGCCTCTAGCTTTGCTTGCACTTGTGAACCTGCTCTATGACTGCTTGCTCTGCTGATTATACCCCACTTTGACTATGGGGGTGTGTCAGAATGTGTAGTTTGTCTAGCCTGCAGTGGGGTACTCTATAGTGAGTACGACCCCTTAGGGTTTCCTATATGTATCCACCTGCTTGCTAGTGAACCTTCTCCTTTGTGTCAAACATTGTATGTGTTATACTTGTGTAGGCTATTGTGGGTTAGCCTCTAGGGGGTACAGAACTTTAGGTTTGTCATACTTGTACTCTCATTCTGTTGCTAGTCAATCATTCCTGTTTCGTACATTCTGACATGGTATCAGAGCAGGTCCTCCGCTAGGACCGATTTTTTAGGGCCCATCACTGCTGACTGACTACTAGCGCCCTAGTGCGCCCTACTGTCGGAGCGCCCTCGAGCGCCTCCCCCCAGCGCCCTCGTGTGCCCCTCTTTAACGGCCCCGTAAGGCTCCGCGACCCGCGACCCGCCCCTTAGCGACCCGCGCGCCGCCCCTTAGAGGCCCCGTCGGCCCCGTCGACCCCGCGCGCAGCCCCTTAGAGGCCCCGTCGACCCCGCGCGCGCCCCACCTAGCGGCCCCGTCGGCCCCGTCGACACCGTGCGCGCCCCCCCCTTAGCGGCCCCGTCGGCCCCGTCGACCCCACGCGCCGCCCCTTAGCGGCCCACCACACGGCCCCGTCGACCCCGCGCGCAGCCCCTTAGAGGCCCCGTCGGCCCCGTCGACCCCGCGCGCGCGCTCCACCTAGCGGCCCCGTCGGCCCCGTCGACCCCACGCGCCGCCCCTTAGCGCCACGCACGGCAACCCCAGCAGCCCCGCACGCGACAGCCACGGCCCCGCCAGAACCGAGCCGCCCGAACCGAGCCGCGCCGCCCTCCCCGTACTGAGCAGCCCTCTCTGGACCGAGCCGCCCTACCTGAGTCGCGCTGCCTGCTGCTTTTAGGGTTTCGCCTGCTGCTACTACGGCTACTGTTCCTACTGTTACTACTGCTCTTACTGCAACTATGGCTAGCCCTGCTGTACTCGCTTTCGATGCTGAGGGCCGCCCACTGAAGTTTGACACCTGGCTAGATGACTTGCACCTGTTCCTCCAGCTCACTGCCAAGGAGGACATCTCGCTGTACGATCACGCGCTAGGCAATGCTGCTGCCCCTGCTGTTACTGCTGACAGTACTGCCCGCTCCCAGTGGCAGACTCGTGACGCCCACGCTCGCTTTGCTATTCGCAACTCCCTGCCGGTAGATGAGCGCGAGCACTTTGGCCAGCACAAAACTGCGCAGGCACTGTACACTGCTGTAGTTGCACGCTACTCCTCACCTGCCTCTGCTGCGCTAGGCCGTCTCTCGCTCCCCTACCTGTTCCCAGACCTGTCCGCTTTCGCCACAGTAGCTGACCTCACCACGCACCTCCGCACTAGTGAGGCTCGCTTCCGTGCCGCTATGCCCGCTGAGTTTCTTGTCACCCACCCCCC